CCTTACTAGGCAGATGGGCCCTCAGGTAGGTGAGCAAGGGGGCCGAGTGAGGCAAAGCGCGCCCAGAGTGCAGCCACGGTGGGCTGGTGTGTGGCGGGGGGATGGGAGGCTCCACCTGCCAGCTCCAGCCTCTGGGCAGGGGGCACCCAGGCAAAGGCCCCCAGGCCCCTCACCGCTCAGACCAGCAACAGCTGAGCCATAGGAGCCTCCTCAGCCATCACAACGAGCCTGGTGGCTGGCACCTCTCTCGCCCCCATGGAACAGATGGGCAAACTGAGACCCAGAGAGGAGAAGCCCCGGGGTCCTGACCGCTGCCCTGCACCTACAGCAGACCCTTCCCTGCCCTTGGGGGTGGGGAAGGGAGTAGGTCTCTGCTGAATATGAGACCTGCCAAGCATGGGGGAGACCCCTTCCTGCTCTCGGCACTCCCGTGGGGAATTTCCCAAGCTTCCTTCTCGGCCTGGACATCAGCTGGGTGGGGCTGGAGAGAGGTGAGGGTGAGTGGAGGGGCTCAACATCCCGGGCTGTGGGTAGGTGGGGGCTGAGCCCAGATCAGGGCTTGTGCCCATGGACAACCCCGCTCACTCGGAGGCCCTCGGCCGACTGTGTGGTCTGGGTGGGTCCTCAGCAGGTGCCCAGCTCCCCTTGGGCACCTGCCATCCACCATGACAGCCCCTGATGCTCGGCCTGCAAGCCCCCAGCACCACCTCAATGAGGAAACGGAGGACCAGATCTGGGGGCTGGACCACCCACCCACCTGAGGAAGTACCCCCTTTGGCCAGCTGAAGGCTCCTGTGCCCCCCCTCAGCCTGCTGGAGGCTGACAGCCAGAGGAGGGCCTAAGAATGTGCTTTTTCTGAGACAGGACCCCTGTGAAGTGAGGCTGGGGACCTCCAGTGCCCCGTGGGCAGGCAGGCCTTTCCAAGGGACACAGCTGGATTCTTAGAGAGGCCCTGAGCTGATGTCTGCCCCTCCCTGCCACGCCCCACAACGGCTGTTCTCAGGCCACCCAGCCCCCTTGTCCATCCCCAGGTCTCTTTTGACTGGGCTCCCACCCCATGGCACACACATCAGGGGGTACTGGTGCGTGCCCTGGGCGAGAGTCCAGGGCCACAGAACCGATGGTCCCTTCTGTGGAGTCACACTAGCGTGGCCTGTGGTCCCACCAACCTGGTGGACCCACGGTACTACAAAGGCCCTGGCGCCAGCCACGTCCTCTGTCACACACGGGAGGAGCCGGGTCCCAGGGTCAGAAGCCGAGCTGTGGCCGTCCAGAGCCCGGTCTCTGGCTGCTTCAGGGTTAGACTCTGAAGCCCCAGGGGGACTGGTCCCCCACCCCTCCCGCAGCTTGGCCAGGCCCCTCCCTTGATGGCCCCCCACCCGCCCCTCGGCCTCCTGTTTGTGTGCTGACAGATCCTGTTATCAGTGGAGAACACACACAGGAAGTCCGGTGGGGAAGGGCCCATCCCAATCCTGATTTACACGGGAGGGAGCATAAAAAGCCGCCCTTCCTTGGCCGGGAGGAGCCTCCCTGCCCCACACCGGCCGTCCTGCACATGCGGCTGAGATGGAGGCGCCAGCAGACAGGCCAGGCAGACGGCCTCAGGAGGTGCCTCGGGGCGGCCGGCGAGGGGTAGGGTCCACCCCCAGCCCAAGGAGGCGGCAGTGGTGGCCATGGCCCAGCCGGGGCCTGGGCAGCATCAGGTATGGCAGGGGTGGCCTTGGAAGGCAGGAAGCGGGCAGAGCGGGGTAAGCATCCCTTGGCTCCCAATGACCATGGCACCTGTTGGCTGTGTGCACCTGTGCCAGCTCTGGATTCTGCTCTCCGGTGCCATCTCATTGTCCTCCCTATTGGTGCCATCCCCACTGCTCAGAGGACAATCAGGCCCCTTGGCCAAGGGTGCCCACTGATGGGCGGCCCAGTCTGGATTGCAGCCTGGCCTGCCCGACTCCAACACTTACCCCTGGGCAGCCCGTCAGCTGCTGTGACCCCTGGAAGGAGAAGGCACGTGCAGCTGGCACCCTTCCCCTGGCATCCCTCCTTCTGGCCGCACTCTGCTTCCGGGAGAAGTCCAGCTTGGCTCTCCTCTCAGACCCAGATGTCCCGAGGACATCCCCCAAGGGGGGGCAAGCACCCCCAGAGAGATCAGGGAGGGGTACCCGTGGGGGCAGAAACCCCAAAGCCAAATCTGCAGGCAGGATGAGCCGTGCATGTTGGGGGCACTGAACACAGGACCGGGGGGTGGGGGAGTCCCCCTCCTGCTGATCTGGCTTCAGGCAGAGGATTCTCAGGCAGAGGGTCAGCTTGGTGGAGTGTGGCGCGGGCACTCTGTCAGCCCACCTTGGACACTGGGGCAGCCCCTGTTCTCCCTCTCCCCCACCCCACCCAGAGCCGCCCGAGTCCCCACCCAAAGCCCCCAAGCTGGAGTGGGGCCCTTCCCAGCCCCTGCCGGCTGCTGTCTCATGTCCACACCAGCAGTCTGTCTGAGGAACGCCCATTTTTCAGATGAGGAAGAAGAAAATGAGGCCTCAGCCCTGATTAGTGGCAGAGGGAAGACAAGCTGACCCAGCCCCCCAGGCTGTCCTTTCTGCTCAGGCAAGAGGTCAAAGGGTCAAGTGACCACAGCTTCAGAGACTGGATGGGGGCAGGAGACAGGGTGGGGAAGCTCTCCCTCTGAGTCCCAGCTCTTAACCCTTTACTGCCTGGGGCTGCACAAGGGCTACCCTGCTTGGGTTGGGGGCCAGGAGACCTAGGGTCCCCAGTGGAAAGACCCGCCTCTTCACAATCATAGGTATCCAGCAGCAGCTATCCCTGCTGCTCTCAGGCCATCTGCCAGGGGCGTCCAGGTCCCCTGGACAGGGTCCCCTGACAGGCAGGAAGGAGAGGCCTCATTCTGAGGGCTCCTGTACAGCCACCTGGGGCCCTTCCCTTCAGCTCCTGTGCACCAAAGAAGCCCAAGCCAGACACCTCATAGCTGCTCGCTCTGCAAGAAGGCGCTTTCCTTCCCATGAACCTGCTGGACCCTCTCCCAGCACCAGGGCTTTGCAGAGGGACTGTGGGCTGTGAGCACAGCGCTTCCGTGCCCAGGGAGTCTGGGGCAAGAGGCAGCAGTTCCATCAGACAGATGGAAACCTTGTCTGCCACCAGGCTGAAGGTGTGAGCCGTGGGCAGATCTGAGAGGCCCTTCAGCTTGGGCCATCATGCAGTGGGGGTCTGTAGGGCAAGTACAGGTGAGATCCCACAGTGGCATGAAGGCTGGCCCCGGTCCCTTTCCCAGACTCTGGATGTCAGGGTGGCCAAGGCTGTGTGCTAACCCACACCATGTCTCTGACCCGCAGACCCCAGCACAGGGGAGGCACTGGTTGCCTCCACTGTCCAGAAGAGCAGCTGCCACTAGTGTCCGGGGCATGAGGAAGCCCCCTTCTCCAGGTGAGTTTCCACAGCAAGCCCCAGGAGCTCTGGGCAGCAGCAGGGTGCCGGGCTGGGCCTTTACCTGTGTGCAGGCACTTAGGTGATCAGGGCCCAGGCTTGAGTTCAAGGGCAGAAGCTGCGGAGAGGGGCAGGCCCAGGGCCTCAGGCAAGGGGATGGCTGTAATAATCATGGTACGAAAATGATGGAAGTGATAACAGGGTTCCCAGGTAGGGCATGCTTGCACCTGGCTCCAGCTGTGCCAGCCGCTGTCTCTGATTGGGCACTGCTGCTCCTAGCCACTCTGCCACGTGGGGCTGTTTTAGCACATTAACAGATGCGTAAATGGAGCTGAGGGAAGGAGAGACCAACCCAAGAGTCTCCACTGGTGACCATGGAGTTGGGGGGACTCCCTGGGGGCCTGAGGAGCACATTCAGTGGTAGTCCTGACTGTCCTGAACAAGGGGGTGCTAACCTGACACCCTGGTTGGGAGGCAGGCGTGGTGTCACCCCAGGACCCAGCCAGCTCTGCGGGACTCCCCGTGATCTCATGGGAGTAAGGGGTCATGATGTCCACCTTACTTGTAGCTACAGAGCAGCGGGCAGCTTTAGCCTACCCCTGGTGCCTAGTGAACTGGCCATCCCCCCCACCCCACTGCTGGTGCTCAGTTTGGGGTGGGAGGGGCGAGAGCTGGCCACCCCGGGCCAGTGTGACTCCCCAGTGCGGCTCCCCAAGGGGCCTCTGCCTGAGTCGCAGTCCTGGTCCCCTGCCGCTGGCGGCGTCGCTCTGAAGCCGTTGTGCGTCAGGATCCCCGAGTTCTAGCTGACTCACTGCCGGGAGCACAGTCCCCCGCGGGGCCTCAGTTTCCCCATCTGTGCAATGGGGGCGGGAGGGCGCCCTGGGGGCTTGGAGCACACCCCGGGGCGGGGGCG